TTTCATTCAGGATCCTCCTCTTTTCTACTGACCCTCTGCTTTATCAAGCATGATATCCTTCTCCAAGGACTGGTCCCTCCTGACAACATGCCCAAAGTGCAAGAAATGAAGTCTTGCCATCCTTGCTTCTAAGCAGCTTCTGAAGCCTGCTTAATAGTGTCCTACAAATCTCTTAGGCATTGTTCACTTTCGTTATTGCTCTTCCAGCTCAAAAATGTCAATTGTCTTATGTTTAAATTCACTGATTTTTTTTTTCCTGTCTGCTCAGATCTGCTATTGAAGTTCTACAGTAAATTTTCTACTTCAATTATTGTATACTCTCAGTAACTGTAATTCTGTTTGGTTTCCTTTCATTACTTCTGTATCTTTATTGATATTCTCATTTTTCTCATGTATTGTTTTCCTAATTCCTTTAGTTTTTTTCTCTGTGTTGATCTTTAGCTCTTTGAACATACTTAATATTGTTGTTTTAAAGTCTTTGTCTAATAAGTCCAAAGTTTCTCTAGAAACAGTATCTATCGCTTTATCTTGTTGCTTGGAATGAATCTTTCTTGTTTCTTTTTATGCCTTGTAATTTTTATTTTGTTATCATTGAAAATGGAACATTAGAATATTAATTCTGTAAATCAGATTCTCCCCTTTGTCAATGTTTCCTTAAAAAAAAAAATTGTTAAAGACTGTAGTAGTTTGTTTATTTATTGACTTCCCCCATTTTTACAAAAACTGCCTTCTTGGTCATGAGGACACTTAAGTCTCTGTTCTTTACCTTGTGTTCTGCTATTTTTGGGGCAGAGATTTCCTTTTACTGTTAGGGCAGGAAAATAATAACTTTCTCCAATGTTTATAGATTGGCTCTGTGATGGGACGTTCCTTTAACACTAAGCTAGATGAAGTAGAGTCTAGCTAGGTATTTTCTAAGCATGGATCTTGCCCAAGATGTACATGTGGCCTTTTTTTTAATTTCCTGTATACATAGTGCTTTTGAATGCCCTAATTTCCCAAAGAAATTTTCTGCCTGATTTCTCCTTTCTGCCCTTAGGCATTTATTATATGCATTACTCTCACTCTTTAGCCCTGGCAGGTATAGATGGTTACAGTTTTGAGGCATTGCCTGAAGCCCATCTGCCCTGAATGAGCTCCAAAACAGGCCAAACCAAGATAATCACGTTGCTTTAGTCTTTCTAGGAGCTCTGGTAGCATAGTGCCTGAGACATTTGACTGCTAACCAGAAGGCTGGGGGTTCAAATCCACCAGCCACTCCTCAGAAGGAAGAT